ATGATAGCATCAAAACGACAACAACAACCATAAAACTAACCCTCCACAAACATAGATTTTTCCACGCAATGCGGCTGCCCCGAGTCGACAACGTTTACTTCCCATTGGTTTTACAAGTTGCCATTCACCAGTTTCCACATTGAAACGTTCAACCGAATTGAATATTGACATCCCGTCATGCCCACCGATCACTTCAAATAATCACGATAAATAAAAAATATGAATATAGATATGGGTTTTTTGTTCAATCAAAATTATTTTTGTTACAATATCATTAGTAATGCACGCGTTTTGAGGTGTACTCTTCGAGATAGATTCTTTGAGATAAGTTCATGTACGCTAATTCACGTGACAAGAGTGAATGAATAAATCAAACACTCATCATGTATTCACACTCCATAAATCATCGTGCACATTTCTGAAGAAAAAGCCAAAAAAGCGAAAATTGAACAGAATGAGTGAAGTGGTAATGATTATACATCATATAATTTTGATAATAATACCACTTAATGAAAAACAAACGAACCATAAATAAAGTTATCAAGAACCGCGATTCCAGCTGCGGAACGTTGTTTGTGCATGTGTGTAGTCATCGACCATTTATCGGCGTTTGCATTGTACACTTCAACTGAGGATAACGATGAAATGCCATCGTAGCCACCGCATACGTAAAGACGTTCATTGACCACAGCTGCACCGAGCGCTGACCGTTTGTTCGTCAATGGGCACACCTCAACTTGATCTGTTAACACATACGAACCAGGCATCACACGAAAATGCAACTGACCTCTCGCCACTTATTGCTCTCATGATCAAAAACTTCGACAGTCTTCAAGCGATCGTGACCATTAAAACCACCGATCGCATACAACTGACGATTCATCACCGCAACACCCACGCGCGAACGAATCGAATTCATTGGCTCCACACACGTCCATTTACCTTTATACATCACTATCCATTACTACCCTCCCTCTCGACCCAGCTTATTCACGGTCATAATCAATGGATTACCACCTATCCTAATCACTGAACTGGCTTGATGTTATTAATATTATCATCACTATTTCTTAATTGTTGCAGCAATGAGACAACATTGGTGTTGTGGTTAATTTTCAGAAACGAATGACAGAATGGTCGAAGCGTATGACTAAAGTAAGCAAGCTTGATGGGATATCATTCTGATACAATCCACATGCAAATGCGCACATACGACTGAATAAACTAATACGGAGAAAGCATCATTAATAGACTATAAAAAGTTCGAAAGGAAACATGAAATCATATCGGATATATTCGTTGATCATGAAAATGTCATAACGATAAAGATGAAGAAATACTTGTGGTGGGATCGAACATTTCCACAGTTGACAATGAATCACCCGTATTGGTGAGACCTCCGACTGCGAATATTAGACCTGGTACATCATAACAACAACGTTGCTTCGTTCTGCAATTTGACTTGTTCGATTTTAAGAGAACACACAGTCCACAAAATCCTTTGAGAATCATTTCAAATACTCAAGTTTCATGAAAATGGTCATATTCACTATTACAAAAACGACAATATTTGACCGTTTGAAGTTCAACGAAACCGTTTGGAAAATATCTCATTATCTTAATGACACTGAATTTCACTGAATCAAAACTCTGTTGCAGATTTTGACGAGGTATTACAACAAAA